AGGCCTAACGGGCGTCCCAGGAGGGCTGTTGCTGGGCTCAAGTACAATAATGGGTATCCGTGTTTCCATGAACTGTGAAGACTGTTCATTTTTGGAAATAAGTCGTTCTTCCTCCGGCACTCTGCCCATGACTTGTTAAAGCATGGAAATGCCACTGGTCACGTCTTTTTTTATGAGCACGCTGCTTCAGTACTTAGGTAGGTGGTTGAAGCCCTGAGTGCCTGGTGTCTCCTTCTCAAAGGAGTCCTGGGCACTGTGTCTGCAGGGAGCGGCCGTGCTGCGGCACACGTGGCTGACGGAGACTCAGACTGCCTGGGAAGAGAATGCGCTGCTTGTCTAAATGAACGGAAGTCTTTCCCAATTTCCTCCTTCATTCGCTCTGGATTCATGGGCCATCCATTCCAGGTTTTGGGAGCACTTCCTGTGGCTTTCAGTGCCTCTGATGACATTGTCACCGTTTCCCCACACCTGTTCCTCCAGGTCTCACACTGGAGGTGCAGCTGCTTGATACTGGCTGACCACGGTCAGGGCCCAGAGCCAGGACCAGGGCCAGGGCCGCGGGAGGCTGAGGACCACGCCTCCAACTGCACTTCCATGAGTCCAGGGTGGGGCAAAAGTAGGTTTACAGTGGTGAGGACAGCACACAGGGTTCATTCTTGTGTTATTCATTAATCACTATAGTATTTTCCATACAAACCACTGTAAACCTACTTTTGCCCAGCCCTGTATGTATAGACTATCCAATATGTGTGTTTAAATTCCTGGCTTAAACACTGTATTTGCTAATCAAGGGAAGATGGTTCATTTATTAGTGGAGCTTGGGCTTCATTACATCAGGTAATTCCTTCTGGCAGAGACCGAAGCATCCGGGTGTTTTCACCCAATCTGTCGGCCTTGGTCAGGAGCAGTACATGGAAGTAGCTGTGACAGAGGCCTTCCGTGTTAGAAAGGCCTGTGTGGGTAGTGGCATTGCACATTTGAACGCACGTCTCTATGTATCGGGTCACCGCACGTTTCCTTCCCATTTGGCGTGTTTGTCAGCGGCTGCACTTAGCACTGATTGAAGGGTCACAGGCAGAAATGCCGTGTCTCTGGCTGAGAGGCACCAAGGGTTACTTAACTTCCTCAAGTCTCGGATTCCTCACTGTTGATTCAGGTGGTCGGAGGGAGGAACATAGTGTTTTGTTTTCTTTTTTTTACAGCTTTTATCACAGTCCGATGTGATGTTTTTATCTGACTACTGTTTTATTACGTAAAGGCAAGGCTAGCTCCATGAGGGTGGCCGTGGTTTCCACTTGGTTTGCTGGTGAGCCTCCATCTCTGAGAACCAGACCAGCATGGAGTAGATGCTCAATAAACTTTGTTGAATGAATGAATAATGTATCTGGACACTTAGCACAATATCCACTATAGAGCAAAACTCAACAAATGATCTTTATCGTTACTGTAAATGTCATGATGGGCTTCTGATGAGAATGTGAGTCACTAATGTGGTATTTTTTTACCCGAAGGTGTGACTGGGTCTTTGGGTCTCTACTCTCCGTTCTGCATAGTTTCTCTCGGGGATTTGCTCTGGTCCGTGGCTCTGCCATGCTGACATTCCCCAGATGCGCACTCCCACCCTCCGCCTCTCTCCGGAGTCCCACTGGGGGGTGTGCACCTGCCTCGCACGCACCCGCCCCACAGTCTGCTCACCGTCCTCTGCTGTGGTGATCAGTCAGTGGCATCGGTACTTACCCAAACACTCCATGTGTAACCTTCGGATTGGCCTTCAACTGTCCTTATTTTCCCATATCTGATCAGCTCATGCTTTCCCCCTCAGAAATGTCTTTCTTGCCTCATTTGTCTACGTCAGACTGATGCCGTCCCTCATTTGGACTTTTATGGCAACTAGTAATATAATTACATTTTATTGAACACAGTATCAGGACTTTATAAGAACTTAAATATTTACATTTATAAGAGCCCAGGAGGTAGATGTTATAAATGTTATTGTATTATTTTACAGATGAAGAAAACACAAGGTTCAGAGAGGTTAGGCAATTTCTTAAATTCTCACAGCTGCCAAGTATTGGAACCAAGATTAGAATTTAGATCTAATTCCAGAGCTTCCACCTTAGGTCATCCTAACCGCCACAATATTTCTCTTCTTTAGTCTGCTTCCAGTCCACACTGCCTCCCCCTTTTTTCTGAATGAGCTCTTAGTTACTCTTCAACAAGTATCTTAAAACCTCATGCCTTCCACTCTTTTCAGAGGCTGCTGGGTAGAGGCCAACACTTCCACTTGGGTTCCACGGCACCCCATCTGCCGGTCAGCCTCTGCTGTTAGGGTCTTGTCCTCTGCTGACCAGCTTGCACATCCTGGAGAGCAGAGAACTTAACTAGTTAATACCTGTACATAGAGTATGTACACTCAGAAAAGTCTGGGTGGATTTTTATCAAAGGGGTGTTTCCATAAACACCGTGTGTGGAGGAGTGAATACTTGCTGTTTTACTTGTATAGGAATGCTATTCATTTTTTTCTTCTAAAATGTGCAATTAGCAACTTAGAGTGCGTTCTTTTTAAACTAGGCCACCCTTCACTTTGGTTTTCTATCATTAGAAGAGTGGGGAGATTGTAATAAGAGTTGTGTTTACATTTGTCCCCCAAGTTCCCACATCCTATTTGGTATCAGTGACTCCAGTCAAAAAAGCGTTTGTTCTCTCAGCTTGTTTTCCTACAAGCCTGTATTCTGCTTTCCCAAGCCTCACTTTTTCTTGGAAGCAGATAAAGGGTCAGCACAAGGGTTTCACCCCTTACTGAAAACCTGAGTTCAGATGTTTTTTCTTCTGTGACCAGTGATGGAAATTCAGGTCCGAGAGTTGAGGAGGATATTTTTGGACAGTGGTCTCTTCTGACTTCCTTCAGATCACACCCCATTATGCTTTTGAAGAAAACTTTGTGTAAGTCTTCTCTGTAACCGTCCTCCAGAATTGCTACAGAAAGCCCTTTGCAGCTGACCAAACGATGGTGTGACTGACGGGTTATAAATAGGAAAGTGTTCATCTCTGCCAAGATGCTGGAATCCGAACTGTGCACATCTCTGCCACTCTCTCCTGTGGGAGATAAGACTATTTTTATGCAGAGCCAATGAAGGCTTATCTTGTACATCTCCAGAGTTTGGAAGTGTCTGTCTAAAAAATAGAGGAAAATCATGACTGCTCCAGGTTATGATATCAGAAATCTAACTATGCTTTTGATGCATTAATGTCAAAGTACCGAGGATAAAACAAGTACGTAACACTTTGTTAATGTGGACATATCCTTGTAGCCATTTGATAAATATTATCACTGTTTGAGTTGTCATAACAAAATATTTATTAATTTAAAAATACCATAAGGAAAAGAAACAGGATTCAGAGTATTAAGTTAAAATGACGGAAAGCCAGTTTAACTGCGCACAATGGGAAACACACCCTTCCAGGCAGCGATCTTGGACAGGTGGTTCTTTGAGTCTCAATTCTCTGTTCTTCAGAGAAGGTATTTCAGGACTCCCTGGGCCAGTGTTCAACGCAAAACTCATAGTTCGTCATCCGCTTTGTCACAATGACGTCCATTTCCGGAGGAATTTCTCTTCCGAAGGAGTGCCACCTTGAGAAAACGAGGACCTGATGCCACGCACTAGAGCACATACTGCATGTGGCTCCTTGATGGACTAGTCCCACCCCCCGATTTCACAGACGCGGAAACCGAGGGTTCCTGCGGCCAAAGGCACAAGGGCAGCAGGTGAGTGGACAGGCACTGACCTGGTGGCTCTGTCCCGCAGCCCCCAGCTCTGGGTGTCACGTCACTGTGTGACCCCTTGTTTCCCCAACAGCAGGTGAAGGTCCTCTGTGATCCAAGTGGACGGACTGTATTTGGGAGGGAAAAGCAGCACAGAAGCAAAACAATGCTCTGGACAGAGACAAGGGGAGAAGTAAGTAGTAAAGGAAGCTGCTTATCCTATCATTTATTGTTGGTTAGTAAGTTCCAGTTTAGCTCTGTCAGCGTTGGGCCAGTTTAGGACAATTTGAACGAGAAGGGCCCCAGACGTTCATAAAATGCCCGGACCATGCGCACTGCGTCCACGCACACCTGGCCTTTCTTACTTGCCCATCAACACTCATCGGCTGGTGGAGGGAGGTGAGGGGACTGTGTGAAACATGTGGGAGCATTTGGTTTTTTCTGGCTCATTGTGTCTAGGTAGCATCTTTAAGTTCAGCTATCTGAGACTTCAACCCATATTCTTACATTGGTATGTTTAAGAGAAAATAAATGCAATTCAGCAAGTTAGATAAGTTTGGACTGCTGTGGTAACACCTTCTACGACTAACTACAGTCCCCGATAAATCATACTTTTTAAAAGCAAACACTCTCTTGCCCAATTAAGTTTCTCTCTCAGAAACGAACCCCCAAATATTTATTCAGTGTTACAATAATCCTCTGCTTCATGAGAAGAATTCCAGTGAGTATGTACCTTCATGTGCTACAGCTGTTTTGAGGCATTTTACAGTCCTAATACTATTTCAGTCAAATTTGAGACCCAAGAAACACTTTTCACAGTAAGACTAAAGATCTTGAACCAAATTTTCCCACAGTTAAATTTTTTGGAAAAATGACATTAAATATTTTAGGTATTTTATTCCTCGTTAAAAACATGGGCTCTCTGTCCGTCTGCATGGAGCTCACATCCTCCACTGTGCGAGGAACCCATTGAGACGGACGTGAGACCTTTCCTGCAGAGTCTCTGACGAGGTCCGAGGAGCCGCTGTGACAGGACAGGTAACTTCATTGTGTCTTAAAAAAACACGTTTATGAGTTTTTAATTTATATTTGGGTGTATTGATTATTAGGACCATAATGAATTCACACTGTAAGGGAAAAATACCTCAAAGTACAGGAACCAAATTTTCTACCCTTATACGGATAAAAGTATAGAACTAAATGATGACATCAGTACACTTTTAATAGCTTAGAATCATCAGAAATTGTTCACAGGTTGAAGATAAATACAACATAGAAATTCAGTTATGCACATAATAGTAGGAGAATTTGACAGGTAAAACATTTCTCAAGAACCCATCTTTTGGATATCGCTCATGATATGGCACAATTGATGGCACTGTGGGTACTAAGTTTGTCTGCTAATGAACATTATTACGAGTGCTCTGTAGATTTCATGTGTGCCAGAGACACAGCTCATACAGCTGCAACGTCTAAAGGACTGAGCTGCACATTGTGGTACTGAGTTTCATCTGCAGGAAGCATCCGTTAGTTGCCCACTGCAGGGGCAGGTTGCAGCCCTGGGGTCAGGGAGGAAGGCCCTCCTCTCTCATGTGCGTCAGATGAGCGCTGCATCCATGAGCCACAGGCTGTGTTCCTCCCAGGTCCACAGTTCTAGGGTCCATCCCTTTGGGGTCTCTTTCTCTTTGGAAACTTGTACCCAGTTTATGGTTTGATTCCTTGTACTTTAATTCCTACTTTGTTTTTCATTTTGTGAGTTTTCTTTTTTAAAAATTAAAACAAGAAAGCCAGCACTTTCCACAGGCCGTCTTCACTGTAAGCTTCTGAGTGGTGGTCAGGAATGGTTATTGGGCTGCACAGCCTTCACAAGTTTCTGGTACATTTCTGACTTTAAAAACCTGGGGTACGAGTCTCTCTCCATGTGCATGTACACTGTTCTTTGGGCCTCTTCAAAACATGTTTCCGTGGGTTCTTGAATATTCCTGAAGATGGTTTCTCTTGTCGAACTGTCAATGTTAATCTGAAAAGTAAAATCACATCAGTAGGCAGAATGGAAGACGACAACATAATGGAAAGGTTTAATTTAGCCACCGCCATCCTTTTTGGTGGAGTGGGATTATTTTGCTTGCAGTTATGGGCATTTAAAAAGACACAGGAGATAAACTCTCTGCTTCTTCAAAAGTAAACGTCCATCTCCACATCCCAGATAAAAATAACATGAGGCCCAAGGCCCAGCAACCTGCAGAAACCATTGCTTACTTATGAGGCTGCAAGCGGTTTGCTAGTGGAGCCTACAAACAAGGAAGTTTACAGGATGGAGGTCTTATCTAAGGAAAAAAGGGAAGTTGGTGCTATTTTAAACTTGATCTTCCTTAACAGTCATCAGTGGTGACTTAACTGAATATGCCCCCAAAATGGGAAGAAGGTGAAGAGGCGTGGAGAAACAGAGAAGTGGTCATTTCGGCCAAACAAATATTTTCCAGGCGAGAGTTTTGAGGAACCAATCAATAAGGCGGGGCTCTCCAAGGTGACAAGAATCTCTTGTACTGCCCTCTACCCTTATCCCCAGGACAGGTACGCTCATTCCTCCTCCTCCTCGCACCTGGAGGAGCCCCAGTGTACCTGGTACACTCTTGACCCCGTTTTCTTCAGGCCTTTTTAAATGGCCAACTTTGATATGGATGTGAACGTCGCCGGCTTTGCTGCTTTCCACTCGGGTGAGCCGGGAGCGCTGGTGTGGAGGCACCGCCTTCACCCAGCACTGCTGTTTGTGGTGTCAGCAGTTCCTCCTAGCAAAGCCCACTCTCCTTTCTAAGTAACTTTCCTATTTTCCCCTTCAAATCATTCAACAAGGAGAGGCTTTGGAGCTACATGGACCTAACTTTGAACCCTGATTTTCCCACTTAACTGCTGCATCCCACTGGACAAGTTAGCTAACACAGTCTCTGGTGTCCAGGGTTCTTGGGTGTGAAATAAGGTGAATGACACTGGCTTTTGGAGCTCCAGGAGACACTGGCCATAAAGTGCCCAGCATGTGTGTGTGCCTGACAGACACAGGCGCCCTGGTTTCCGTTCATCACCACCGCTGGGCAGTTACCTCTCGAGGGGACTGTGGCTGGATGTAAATCTTGTACAGCTTCTTGGCCTGAGAAATTCTGCTCCATCGCGAGGCAATTTTCTTATAGGTTTCACAGGCCATCCAGAATTTAATATTCTCCTCACTGTGCTCCATTTTTAGGTATGCTGCGTAGATTACCGGACCGTCTAAAAGTAATGGAGAAGTCAGTTCGTTTTTGTGGGTCAAAATCATGAAGAACTCTGGAAAACACATAATGCAGTTTAAAAGTGAAGTATAAATCAGAGCTCCCAAATTATTTAACAAGTGACTGTCACTGATGTGGTCACCCCTCATTCCTTAACTTCAAGTCACTCAGAGAAAAGTGTCCACCAGGGTCTGTGAGCCTGGGATACAAAAGGACATGAGGACCCAGAGATAGGACTTACTTTCAGCTCAGTGGATAGAGAGGTCTGATCATGAAACCGACGTGAAAAATCTCAGACCTCCAACTAAGGGAGGGTCACAGCAAGGAAAGGGAGGGTTGAAAGGAAAATAGCCCTCCATGTAGAAGTGATCGATAGATCAGCTTGTGCAGCCTGTGGTGTTTCTCAGTATGCAGGGAGAGCCAGAGAACATAGACAGATGAAAAATTCAACTTCAGGTTCATGGCTTATTAGGAAATGGAGGACCAGGGAAAGAATGGAATTGGAAGGGGCGTTGAGAACCACCTCAGAATCCAGAACAGGCCAGTGGGTGTATGTGACAGAACCACGACAACAACACTTGATGCCATAGCTGAGCACCCTCAGCCCTGGTCTAAAGCAGCCCCTCTGGAGTGGGCAGATGAGGGCAACCGTGTGAGCGAAGGTGTTCCGAAGGGGGCGCTATTTCTGCAGGTGCGAGAGACTGAAGAAGACGGTGAGGCAAGCTCAGACCGATGCGACACATTAGTAAAACCTTTGGCAGGACCTAGTATTCCCAAGATTCAAGATGAACACCCTGAGATGAATAGTCTACTTCCTTTGGTGATGAGGACATCTGGAATCTCTGAGAAACGGAATTGCTCAATGATGATTCAATGCAACTTTGATTGATAGCAATAGAAATGTGTGTGTAGGCACATTGGACAGGTGACTGAGCGTAGACTCTGATGAAGAATGTCTTGATTCAGTATAATTGGCTGGGGGGAGAAATAATGGTAATCAGAGGGATGGCAATGATGAGTAAACTCTTATTATCCTTGTTCTTAACATAAGAGATTAGTTTCCTAGTACTAAACTCTGTGGCTTCTACTGGTTCTGTTAGCAGTGACAGGACAATAAAGATAACAATTAAGGTATTTTGCATCCAAGAGAAAAACTCGAATTGAGGCAGGTTTCTTCAAAGGAAACATTAGGGTTGGGGAATGCTGGCAATCTACAAGAAGCGTTCCATCCTGGAACACCCTGAATCAGAGCAGGGCTTGTCATTTTACCTGTGACACTGGGTGACAGGTGATTCAAAAGCACCATCACTGTTAGAGGATGGACAGAATGGGGTTAGATTGTGGATAAAAATGTAACCTCAAAAATGAAATGGGGTCGATATTTCTACCCAGTAGGGAGGACGCATGTTAACTTGGGTTTCCAGCAAGAAGTGAATTTTCACACCAAAGCGACTGTGGCCTCTGCCGTGCCCCAGCCCTGGCTGGGAGAGCCAAGGCGGGGCGGGGGTGGGGGGTGGTGTCCAGAAGGAGCAGGTGGTTTTCCAAGTGGAGAGGCATCTGGATGGGTGGGCAAACCATTTCTGGCTTCACAAGTAAAGCTGGAAGCTGAAGATTTGTTTGAGAAAATAAAAAGCAATTTGATATATTTTGTACTCAGAGGAATTTTGACTGAATGCTTCATCGAGAACAGAAAATAAGGACTCTAAAGTAAGGAAAGGAGCTATGAAACAGGGAAAAAATGAGACACCAGATAAAAATGTCCAGGCCCTGGAAGGAGACTTAACCGCCAGGCTACTTGGATGGTTTGAGTGGATGAGTGGGTGGGGGTGGGGAGATCATTTGGAAACCATTGACATGGTATTCTGAATTTGTGTTTATATTTGTGTTTAGCTTGATTGTGCAGGAAAATGTTTAGAGATTTTCATTCCAGAAGCTGCCTACGAGTTACTGGGATGCGAATCTTGTGTCTGTTGCATCATAACCTCATGAAAGCCGACCTGGACCACCAGGACCTGTCTGGTATTTCAGATAAGGTCCAGTGTGTAGGATCAGTGCTCTCGTGATTGGTGTGTCTCACAGAAGTCCGTCTTCGTTAGACTGATGTTTATACATAAGCCAAGTTAGCAGCTGAAAACGCACATGGACACAAGTGTTCCCGGAATCTGAGTAATCACTGAAATTGGAAGTGAATGGCTCACTCTAGACTTTTTATTGACTTACACTAGTGAGTTACAAGGTAGGGAAAAAAAAAGCCTTTTTCAAACCAGGCAGTGGAGCCCATTCTGCCGTTTTCAATGGGACTCCTTCCTGAGAATCGTGCTCAGGCGTCAGTGGTTCTGCCTGAGCAGAGCGAGTGGGATGCACATGAAATTACACATTTCAGAGCTGCCATGAAGTTGAGAAGACGGAAGGGGTGGGTTTGCGTCATGCACAGTGGATGCCTCTTCTTTGAATATGAGAGCAGTGCCTTGGGGAGTCTCTTGCATGTCCCTTTTAAACGAGTCACTGGAGTTTATGTTTCCATGACACATCTTGGTGTCAGAGGAAAGTGTGACAGTGCTCTCGGTTGAGTCAGAACAGGGCCCACATATTATTTAGGGTGGCTAGGCAGCCAGTTCACCCCATCATTCAACCCGAAAGGGGGGCTGGACCTCAGTCTTCCATCAGCAATGCCTCTAAACCAATTAAAACCTGTGTTATGTTCCCTTTGTGCCGCCAGGACGATGGATTCTGTAATTCTTCCATCCTCTCTATGAAGGTTTGAAGTGAATCTTCTGTTTTATTGAAATCTGTGCTGTGGCTCCTATGATATTAATCCTGTCTGGTTTTTTTCTCTTAACTTCTTTTTTCTCTAGTTCAATGTAGCTTAAAATGCTGTGGGTTGTTTTTAAATACAGAAAACTTCTTATAAAGATAGCCATTATTAACAATTTCTAACGTTTAATTTTACTCTATTAATCCTTTGCCCATCTTTAACTGCCTGCTTACTAGTAGTAATTTATCTACACAAACACAGATACATGGGCAAATCACCTTATTGGCATTACACCGTGAGAGCAGTTTTTATCACTCTTGCATCTTTAATATCACGCAGTAGGAAGGAAATACTTTTTCCTTCTATTTTTAAAGTCCACTGTAGGGCTAAACTCTCAATTACTGAGCTAACCCACTATTGTTGATTGTTCAGATCGTTTTCCCATTTTATGGTACAGATCACCCTACATTGAACATTTCGGTTTATAAATCTCTTCATCTCTAATTATCGCCTTAGGGTGAATTTAAAGGGGTGGACTGCTGGATTGACAATGTCGTATTTTTGGAGACTCTTGATATCTACTGTAAAATTGCTTCCAGGATAATCTCATTTTTATTGCGGTTTTGAAGTGCCCACACACTCCATCCTTTTCAATCTGTATTTTTAAAATGGCAGTGCTTAAACATTTCTCTTTCTCACTGACCTTTTCTGTCTGAGAACTTGAAATCTTTTGTTCATTTTTCTTTTGCATTGTTAGCATTTTCTTGAATTTTTATATATCTTTATATACACAAGACTCTGTTATATTTATAGCATTATCTTCTGTCCTCTTTTTACATGTTACTTTTGTGTATGATTTTTGAGGAATATTTGTAACCTAACCTGGAAAACACCTCAATTCATCTCTCTTACCCTACTTTTCATCTTTTCTGCATTTTTATTAGACAAAAATCTCTAAAACAAAAATCTGACCAGGACTCTTTATTTATAACCTTTTCTTATCACCCTGGTGGTGACAGACAGACCTCTTGGCAGGTGGCTGCAGAGCTCATAGGACACAGGGCTGTCCCTCGGCCCCTTGTCACCCCTGGACACAGTCTTGTTGACACCTCCCTATCTCTGGCCAAGCAGCGTGTTGCCCCCACGCTGCTGGAGCCGAGCTCCTTCCGTGTGGCAGGCTCTGCAACCCGATCCAAGACTCAGCGTGGGTTTCTCCATTTCTGAGAAAATTTCTCTGCATCAGCCGCATTCCTGTCAGTTGACAAAGAACACCTAGTCCGTACTTACTTTAATGATGTCTCCCTGCCTGTCACGGTCTGCTCCATCCATTGGCTCACTCTGTCCCTGTCCCCGCACCTGCGTACCTGGAGGGTCAGGATGCCATGTGCTTCACCTCCAGGTGCCCAGCGCCCGTGCCCTGCCTGATGGACAGCAGGGACTGAACAAACAAACGTCTGTCAGTCCTGGTTCAAGGTCCCTCGTGCTTTTTCACTGTAAAGGGACTCCCTTGGGTTTTGAAAAGTGAAGCCAAATTATTCAGCATTCAGGAAGCAGCAATGATGTCCCACTTTGGTTTTTTGAGAGCGAGACAAAAGATGTCCTAATTGGACAGTGATGTCTCTTAAAGGCCAGGTTTTGCCATTGCTTTGTTTTGTTCCCTGCAGTGTGACAAAGGGCACGAGAAATTAACAGGGACAGAGGTGCTGAGTGGGAAGAGCTGAGGCACAGCTGGAGGGAATGTGAGGGCTGGGGAGGGGACCATGGCAATGGCAGTGGTGAGTGGAGGTCAGGACAGTCACTGGGTCGGAAGCTGCTAATCCACGCAAAGCAGCCCAGACCCTCTCCCCGAGGAAGAGAGCTGAGGGGTGGCCCAGCCTCTGTGTCAGGCGCACAGGGGGGACCGCAGCATCTCCCAGTGCCTTCCGGTGTCCACTCTGTGCCACAAGAAGGAGGAAGATACCCAGGCCAGCAGAGGGCGGCTCCTCAGCATGGACGGCCTTCAGCAATGGGGCAACCTGACACTCTTCAACCTGGCGTGGCCAAGGCACTCTGCAGGCGACCGTGATGGCTGAGAAAGGGAGGGAAGGACACAGGACGTCCAGGGATGATTCTGGCCAAAATGAAAAGATGACGTCAAGTCTGTGTGATTCAGAACACTCATGTACCCGAAATGGCTTGCTACATGTCTGCTGTGCATCTGCACTGGAGCACATGGAATAGGCGGAGGAAAACACAGCTGTGCTTTC